TGTCCAGGGTTACTACCTCTGACCTTGCAGGTGTCTTAAGTGCTGTTAGTTATGCTAAGTATTCTTTATTCTCACAGTTATATGATCGGATTGTAGCTTTACCATGGCAGAGAGTCAGTTCTATCACAGCTACCAAGATGTAATTACAGTCTTTCTTGGTTCCTCATATTTAGTTCCTTGTCTATGGGGTGGTCTGAGTGGTCTCTTAGGCAGAAGCTTCTTGTTGGAAGTTATCCTTCCAATTAAGTCTGTTATGATTAGCTGCATTACAAACAACAATATAGGAGTGGACAATGGTGCCTTACATATGTCCTTCAAAGGTTTTGGGGGTACGTAGAAAGCTGGCCTGCTGTCACTGGCCCAGAGCCTCGTCCTTCCTCTTATCTATCTGGCATGGTTATCTCACACCCATCTACAAGCCATCTTATTTATCTTCCTCAGTGTTCCAGGCCTTGCCATGTTAACCCTTAGTCTTCCTCCTAACCCCAGCCTCTTCTCTCACTGCAACACATGTGAGCAACTTGCAGTCTTCCTCATAGGACCTTATCCTTTACCAAGTACAGAATACTAGCTCCTGCATTGGGAGGATCATTAGCCTACAGCATAAGTTATTAATTTTAAGAGTAACTAAAAATTTTATGCGTAAAATTTTTTAATGCATATGAGTGTTTTGCCTGACTTTATGTAAGTGCATTCATGTATGCAATGCCAGCAGAGGCCAGAAGAGGGAAATGGATCTCCTGAAACTGGTTATATACTGTTGTCACAGTCGTCATGTGGGTGCTGGAAACTGAACCCTGATCCTCTGCAAGAGCAGCCAGTGCTCTGAACCACTAAGCCATCTCTCCAGTCCCAGCTATTACTTTTAAGAAGGTATGCTAAAAGATACCACAGATTAGGGGCAAACTATGTTAGCCAAATACAAAACAAAATACTCTGAGGAGAAATCTGAGGCTGATTCAAAAATAAACAAAAATATAAATATATATACATATAATTTTAGAGTATGAAACAGATCCATATATTTAAATTCATGTACTTAAATCAGGGATAGTTGTTTAGAAGTGGAGTCTAGTTTTGTGAGCATATCTTAGGACATTTATTCTACAGTATTTGGGGGGAACTGATGAACTATGCAAGTTAAAGCTGTTGTAGAAGGGGCTATAGAAACCATCCTGTATTACAAGCAAATGGTTGTAACTGAATTTGAGGTTTGTTTTAAATGAAACCAAATATATTGTTGAATGTTTCTCAGGGGATAGAAACCTGTCCACATTTTCTGAGGCTAGGTGTGATGTTAGTATTGTCATTTTACTAAATCCAAGTCATAGTAAGAAGTAGACATGCTGTTTGTTATTTCTGAGACCATACAGGTTTAAATATGTTGTATTCATTTGATATATTCATCCGATATCTATTGAACCTTCCCAGAGGCCAGTCAGGCCTGACAACAGGCACTGGGGACAGAATGGTAAAATTAATGGGCTTTGTGGGTTGGTGGGGGACAAAAGATAGTTAAATATTCACAATAAAGTACAAAAAGTGGATGGGGGGAGTGCCTAATGATAGGGTGGCACAGCATGCAGACTGGGGTGTTGTGCAGGAGTGGGGCCTAGGGAGGTTAGGATCATTTCTCTGAACAAAAATAATGGTTAAAAAAGAGCTGGGTGTGGCAGCAGGGTAATCCAAATGAAATGCGTTGGAGAAGGTGTTAGAGGAGGAAGCACACAAACTCTTTCCAGTTTTCGGTGGCAGAATTTCACAGGTGGAGAAACCAGGAAAGCAGAGTAGTTTTAGAAGGTCAAGACCAGGTTCTGAGCTTGGGGGTCAGGAGACAGTTTCTATATTCTTGTTTGTAAGACACTGAGACATTGGGAAAGTCCATTACAGGCAGGAAGCCTGCCTTGTTTAGATGTATTTTCTGATTTACTGTTATCACTCTTCCCAACATTTGCCCAACATCATTTCCTTTTTATGCTGTTTGAGACAGAGTTTCACTATACTGCACGCTGATCTGGCTGGTCTAGGCCTCTTGGGCTCAAGTGACTTTTCCCTCAGAACTCCTGAAGTGACTGGGATTATAGGTGTGCACCATTTTGCTGTACACCAACCCTTACTATGGAAGGATCAAGTGTCCTAGCATTCTGGTGTTTTGCAGGTAGAACTACAGTCTTCCCCACCCCCCCCAAAAAAGACAAAATAATAAAACCGCTGTTTCATATATCAAATGGTATCTCACTTAAAGGTCACTTTCTACTGTCATCACTGTGCTTTGTACATTTCTACATTACCCTCCAACATTTACTTATGGATAAAGTTACAAGTAGCAGAAATTTAAGAAATACCAGACACTTCTTAAATGATTTTCTGTGGTTTGAATTTTACCTTTTCGTGTTTTCACTTGCTTTCCAGATAATTAATCTTAGTTTGGACTATGCAGTATGAGATTCCTCTGTAATCACTCCAAGTGGAAGGTTATAAAGGAAGCTTTACTTATGCTGTGTATACTTGAAAGTGTCATTTGGCTTTTGACGTATCTGCCAGCAGTATTTGTTTTCCTTAGAAATTAGGTGAACAGAAGTTGTGCCAACTCAGTGAATCATAAGACCTGCTAATTAGAGCTGAGAAGCATCTTTTTGGTTGTTCTCTCACTCTTAGGAATATCTTACAGATTCTGTCTTTACTGTTTAGGCTCAGGGAGAGAGGAAAAATGATGCCCTTGTTGTTACCACTTAATGCAATATGCTCATTGGAAAAGATACTCCCCCATCCCACTATTTTAGTTGGTATTTTGTTATTTTTTTTTACAACCAAATATATAAATTATAAACTTGACAATAAAATGCATAGATCTCAAAACAAGCTATTGTCACCTAACAACTTTAATTCCATGAATCTGTTCTTTTTCAAAGTTAAAACCTAAACATTTATTTTTCTTAAAAATGACTTTTTAAAAACGTCATTGTCTTAGCCTCCCCTTTATTTGGCAGGCAATAAAGGGAAAATATTTAGAGAGGGGATAGTCTTTCAGGGGTGACAGCTGCTGTTTTAACACCTGCCTTTACACCTGGGAGGAGGCAGGCAGAAGTGGTTAAAATTCTATTGTTCTATTAATGGGCCAGATTTCATACATAATCTAGGACTTAACTTTTGATTTTTCCATAAAAGAAACCAGCAAGATCTTAGATACAAAAAGAAAGACCAAAATCTCAAAATTCAGTCCCCACCTCTCAATGGTGGCATGGTCCCTTAAAAAGTGATACAAAAGGCACTTCCCTAGAATTACAAAACTGTATTATTCATTGACTATTTTAAGTAAAACAAAGGGGTATATCTCTTGAGCATTTAGCAACTTTGTTGTTAACAATTTTATGGTTTTAATCTAGGCCCAAATAAGTTATTTTCTTAATTGGAATGCTTTTTCTTTTAACAGACATGAATGTCTTTTTTTGTGCTTGCTGGTATTATAGTAGAAAGATCCAGTGTGACCAAAAAGCTTTTGAAATACCTAAATGAATTTTTTTCTTAACAGAGGAAGCATTAAACTATATCTTCTGGAATTTAGCAAATTGAATATGGTAGAAGTCAAGATAATGACAAATTCATGTGATTTATTCTACTAAAATGCTCTTATATACTTTTATAAACACAAAATAAAAAATTAAGAATTTCCAAAAGCATATCTTTTCCCATTTATGATTTCACTACTGTTTCTACTCAGATTTTGCTGTTTTCTTGTGCTGGGGACAAAACCCAGAGTCTCATGAACACTTGTCTAACAATGTACCACTGAGCTACATGACTAGTCCTATCATCTCTGTCAGTTGTCTCTTTCATAAATGAGTCCTAAACATACACAGTTCCAGCACTTGACTCTTCCTGAGAACTCATGAAAATCTCTCTCTCTCCTGGCCACATTTCTAGGTAGATTTCCTGTAGGAAGCTATTTCATAGTATATCTCTAATCAAGCACTTTAAAAGAAGTTTAAGGGGCTGGAGAGATGGTTTAGTGGCTAAGAGCACTTACTCCTGCAGAGGACCTAGGTTCAGTTTCCAACACCCACATGATGGCTCACTACCACCTGTAACCCCAGTTCCAGGGGATTAGAAGTCCTCTTCTGACCTCTGTCAGCATAAAATATATTTTTTAAACAAGCAAAACATAACTCTTTAAACTTTAAGTCAATTTCCATTATCCTTTAAATTTACTCCAGAATAACAAATTGACTTAGATGAACTCCACACACATTTCTAAAGGAGTGTCAAAGTGGGTTAAATCGGACTTTCAAAATATTTAAGTCAAAGATCATTGATTTGTGTGTGTATGTGTGTGCGTGTGTGTGTGTGTGTGTGTGAGAGAGAGAGAGAGAGAGAGAGAGAGAGAGAGAGAGAGAAGAAAGTTTAAATCAAGTGAAGGTAACCTGAAATTCAGTCAATTCCAGATGGATTCAGGGATTCTAGTCATTCCAAGAAGAATCTAGACGTCAACTCCTTACAACTGAAGAGAACATAGGAAATTGTCACCCCCCTTCGCATATCCTTAAAAAGTCCTAGGAGAATTAGTCAGTGGCCTTGACGCTAGGCTTTGGAGGATACTGCTTCATTTCTTCAAGCTGAAGTCTCCTGGAAGCCTTGGTAGACAGGTGGGAGGGGGCTGGCTATCGACTATCCCGTCCAATGAACAGCTAAGTTAGTAACTATGAATTGGCAAATGATATTTGTTTTGTTTGTTATTCATTAATTGAGAAGCAAACATAGATAACATCACACAATGCAGACAGTTAACCCTACCCCAGACTGCCTGGCCACTTTGACACTAGGTCCTGATGATTCAGCCTTTGGCGCTCCTCTCGCCAGGCCAGGCCCTGGCCGGAAGGGCGCGGCGGGGGTGGAGCAGGTGGAACGGGGGCGTGGCTTCGAGGAGGCGGAGACAAGATGGCCGCCCTGAGCGCTTGGAGGACTTAAGAGGCGCGGCCCGGGCCACGCCCCGGGCGGGAGGGCCGCTCTGTGCGCGCCCGCTCTATGATGCTTGTGCGCGTCCCCCGCGCGCCGCGCTGCGGGCGGGGCGGGTCTCCGGGATTCCAAGGGCTCGGTTACGGAAGAAGCGCAGCGCCGGCTGGGGAGGGGGCTGGATGCGCGCGCACCCGGGGGGAGGCCGCTGCTGCCCGGAGCAGGAGGAGGGGGAGAGCGCGGCGGGCGGCAGCGGCGCTGGCGGCGACTCCGCCATAGAGCAGGGGGGCCAGGGCAGCGCGCTCGCCCCGTCCCCGGT